CGAAGTTATTAATACTTTCTGACCGTTATATAAGAGGAATGTACCTTGGACGATGGTGAGATTGCAAGGCTTGAGTGAGAGAATCTCCACGGAATCTTTCAATCGTGGTCCTCGAATCTACCAATTGTTTGCACGAAAGGATAAAACAATTCATACGTTAGTTACAACATAGACATTAACTATTCTTTTTGAAATTCATCACATATTTTTTCTGAGTTCAAATAAATATTTATTATTTTTCAGTAAGTTTTTTACTGAACATGCCAAACTTTTTTCCAAGTTACCTTCTTCATATTTTTTAAAAATAAAGGCCACCGAACATGGGCTTAAAACTGTACGCAACTTTCAGTCGACAAAAAAATCAATAATTCGAGTACAGCTATTTTAACATGCACATATGTAGTTCTAGTAATTCAATCTTGCTGAAATAAAAAAGGCACAGACTCAAAACTGTTAGGAATATTGAGCCTAACTCCACCTAATAAAACCGGCTTATTAGGGGAGGATTGCCCTCACCTTATTAAGTTGATCATTTATATTTTCCCAAACAATGTGGGATTCTAATACGCCCTCTCACGCACAGCGTGGACCATNTCACGCACAGCGTGGGTCATGCCAAACAACTGTGAACAAATTGATATTGGGTGGCACCCAACATTGCATAATTGGGCCTAACTCTGATACCATGTTAGGAATATTGGGCCTAACTCCACCTAATAAAACCGGCTTATTAAGGGAGGATTGCCCTCACCTTATTAAGTGGATCATTTATATTTTTCCAAATAATGTGGGATTCTAATACCGCAAGTTTTGACAACATGATATTAAGTCGAGTAATATTATTTATCATAATAATAATAATAGATGGTCACATTTAGACGGTATTAATACTCTCGTGATATATCCCTGCATTTAATTGAACATATAATGTAATGTCACTGTATTATCACATAGGGACCAATAGCGTCATTATATTAGACCTATAATAGTGTTTATAGCCTTCATGTCATGTACAAAATCTTATGAAGTACTTAGCCCTCCAATCGCAATTAATTTTTGGGCCAAACAACATTAATTGTATCACGAGATTTAATTCATGAGACGGGTTATACCTACCTAAGACATCTGACAAATAAGAACAACTCAATGAAAATGCTTCTTATACATAATTATTTGTATTATGTTTTACATAATGACGATATGTCAAACTGTAAGCGAATAGTTGTTTGACTGATGAGATTTTGATTCAATTAAATATTTTCGCGTCATCTGTTGATAAATTATTTTGTAATTTGTTATATATGTAATTTGCTTATTAGCTAGTGCAGATAGACCGGAATTATTTTCTTGTGCGGTCCTTTTATGGACAGCGCATTTGTCTCATAAAATTCGATAGTGACAACGGCTAAAAGTCAAAGATGATGACCAATTTATTCTATGTCACGATGTATGTTTGGACCAATTTACTCAACAATTTAAAAGAAAAACTGTTGACCAAAAATCTTTTTTTTTAAAACATGTGCTAAAACTTCTTTTGCCCCTGTTAAGCCACAAATTTATTATTTAAAAAAAAAAAAAAAACTCAATTCTTTTTCATTTTATCAGACTCATATTTTATCGAAATTTACTAAAAATATGATTTTTAACCCCCCAAATCTAAGGATCATGCTATATGTACCGAATTTTTTACCGACTACTCACAATGGGGATGGGGACCACATTGTCGAAATTTTTAAGTACACACGGGCCTCACACACTATGTGAGGGGGTAATTCATTATGTACAAACCATTATGTACAAATGAATTAACATCAATTCTAATACTTTGAAAATATATACTTTTATAGTAGGGAATTCTCGAAATAATAGAAAAATCCTTACATCAATATCACGAAAGCAGAGCAAATTAAGAGCTTGTTTGGTACAGATTGTCATTTTCTACAGTAAATCAATTCTCATTTTCAACCACACATTCTTCAATAAAATAATATTTTCCATCACATTAATACTTTTTTCTTCTTTTTCAACCACACATTTCCCATCATATCACTATTCAAAAATCAATTCTTCCTCCAAAAATCCCTACCAAACACACTCTAAATTACTCCTCACAATCAATGGGAAATTCGAGCAATGAAACATTATTTATGTTTTCTTTCGGTATAAACCCTAAAGACGAAAAAGAATTTACCATTATTTATGTTCTCGAGAAACTCGAGAAAAAAACTTACTTGAAGGTTGATTAAATTAAACTTCAAGAAAATATGTCTCGTTTCATATATCAATAAATGCAGATATAAATGGGGGAAAGAAAATCTCATGAGCAACTAAAGCAAAAAATCACATTAAAAAGGTGCAATGAATAGTTTAATCGAACCATTTCCGAATGACTTTCTTAGTCACCAAAAGCCATTCGATCGAACGACAAAAATAACACGACTCTTATCGTGATGAAATGGGGACGGTGCCCTAATTTGCAAGTATAAATTGCACATAAAATCTTAGTAAATTACCTCATGTGACAAAGAGTAATTGGTCAAATGGCAAGTCTCGACGTGGACTGCTAATAGTTTCTTCACATCTAAAATCTTGTCGGTTGATATTCCCTGAGGCGAGCAACGATTGTAAAATGAAAAAAAAATGGAAATACCATGAAGTTCGATTAGACTCAAATTGAGCTTAGGTACATAGATACATTCAAAAATAAATTATAGTCACAAATATAAATGAAAAAACGTACCTTAAGGGTAACTTGTGACTCCTCAGGAGTTTCTACCACTATTTCTATTACAGTAGGCAACACTGCAAAAATAAAACAATATGAGAAATAAATATAAAATATATAATCATGAGTCACAAGAGGAAATAATATTAGTTTTTAAAACAGATAAGTTATTATTTTATTGATAAAATGGATAAAATTGAAAAAAAAAAAATGACAGAATTTGGAGAAAATAAGTACAAAAAGGATAAGATAGCAAAGTAGACCTTTTTCTTCTTTCTTCTTCTTCTCTCCTTTGGGTTTGTGAGGTTTAGCCTTTCCAGTTTTGGGAGCCATTTTCAGACAACCTTTGACAATACACAGTTGATTCTAGGGAGAGAATTTACTTACACTGAAAATTTTCTTTCTATTTATACCAGACTCAAGAAAAATGCAAATTCAGATAAATTTTTATTGGCTCAGCAATTCGAAATGAAAACAAATAACAAGAAAAGCTAAAGATTGAAGAGAGTAATGAGTATTCATTCACATGAAGCAGTTCATTCACATGAAGCAGAAGTTGAAGTATGTAAAAATATAGTGAGACGGAAGCATAAATGGCGAAGTTGAAGTAGTTGAACACGAAGAATTTGTCGAAGTTTTTTGAAGGAAAGTGAAGCAAAAGAGGAATGGGGTCCAAGAGGAAAAAAGTTTTAGACAGAGAAAAATAGATAGATAGAATTAAAGTGTCTTGTATGTGTTTGTGAAGAGGGAGATAGAGCGAGAGGATATAGAAAAAGAGAGCAAAGACTGTTAGAGATGGATAGGATAAGGTAACACACAACTCACAAAGCTTCCATTGATTTGTGAAAGAATGTAAGGCTGACAATTTTGGACCTCTCGTTTCTCTTCTTCTTCCTCAGCTGTTTATCCAAACCTCTCTCTCTCTCTCTCTCTCTCTATATATATTATTTGTCTGTAGCTATATATGTATATGTCTTTCTCTCTCTGCTCATTTGTGGGTTTGCCAAGCTAGAAACATCTGAGCAAGACACTTCGTTTGTGGAAGAGAATAAAAGATTTTGCTTAATAATTAAACGCTCAAATTTCAGCCACGTATGACTTTTTTGGCCGTCTAATTGTTACATTTTTATTTATTTTAGATAAAATGGCCTCTTTTTTTTTTTTTTTTTCTTTTTTTTTTTTTTTTTTTTTTNTTTTTTTTTTCTTTTTTTTCTGGTTTTGGTCTAGAAACAAGAAAGAAAGATCGCGAGTTCAGAATACATATATGATTTCGTGCATGTTTGGCTAATCTTAAAAAAATTACTCATAAGTTTGACAACTAGGTTTAAAAGTTAACCAAACATCTTAATTTGGAAATGAAACTTACTTAACTTTTGAGGTTAGCCAAACATCTTAATTATGTTATAACAAAAAAAAAAAAAAATTGAGTCTCGAATTTCTAATATTCCATTAATCTACGTAAGGCCATGAACTTCATCAAACTTTCATCAATTGGTCAATGTTTTTTTTTTCTTAAATATCGCATTTCATTCGTGCTTGAGTCAAAGTCTGATTGTTTCATAGTAATTTCATTTGAATTAGGATTGCTTGTACAGATTGCATGTATATATAAAAAATTGTTTCGTGTTTGAATTTTGAAACTTTTTAAAATGAACTACTAATCGATTTTGACTTGAATGGATGAAATAATATTCGTTACGCTTCTCTTGTTTTGTCTTCTTTCACCGTAATAAATCAATGGTCGAAATGAGATCACGTAGAGTATATATATTTTGTGAACCAAATCTAATTATCACAATGAGATCACGTAGAGTATATATTTTTGTGAACCAAATCTAATTATCTCAATAGTAATGCCAACGGACAATTTTGTGAACCAAATCTAATTATCCCAATGAGATCACGTAGAGTATATATTTTTGTGAACCAAATCTAATTATCTCAATAGTAATGCCAACGGACCTAAAAGAGAAGTACAAGTGCAACATATAATCTTAAGACACGAATTGAAGTGATTGGTACAGTCTTGCCTTATTAAGAAAAAAAAATCTTTTCGAGATGACAAATACCATACTTAACTGAATACATCGTCGTGAATTCAAATGAAAAGAGTAATGCTACATGACACCTTGATCAAGGTGAAATTTGTCCAAATTTATTTCCAAAATCTCTTTTCTTTAAATATACTTATAATTTAAATTGAAGAACATAACTTATTTTGCTTGCAATATCACTTATTTGCACCATAATGGCACTGAAAAATGTTGCAATTCTTTCATTTTTCAACTTTCTCAGAGAAGGAAAATATCAGAAACAGGCAGAAAGGAACTACAAAAAAGGCTGTTAACTTAAGCAAATCTTCAGTATGTTTTGAGATCACCCCAATTCTTGACCAGTCCCCACTATACCTGAACAATTAATTAAACATAAAAAAAAAAAAACAGTAAAATTAAGCAGAAACAAACAGTAACTTTGACAAAAATAAGTAAATTATAAAGATATAAATTACCCGGCATCAATGAATCCCAATGCAAACACTCCAACTGCAGACTGAAGTAGAATCTTGTTGGTGGAAAATTTGAAAGGAAAAATTCTGGGTTTGTTTTGTTTTCTTGATTTCTCAGATAAAAATTTCTTCTTGGAACAACATTTAATAGTTTTTTCATGTTTCGTACTGGAAAATGTAATTGTGCAGACGAAACTTGTCTCTACAATCAACATTATCTTATCATGAAACAACTCCAAAAAGAAAAAAACCCTTTTATCTACTTTTTAATGGGTGGCTATCAGAAACCAAGGACAATTTAGTCATTCACAAGCTCTTGGCAAAAATTCAGGTCATGTTTAATCGCCATTTTCTGCGTAGAAGAGTGTTAAATAGTAATTTTTTAAAGAACGTGGGATTAAAAAGTAAAAAAAAAAAAAAATTGAGTTTACGTAAAGAATTTTTTATTGTGAGGACGTGTGATTGAAAATAAGTATATAAAAAAAAAAAATTTGGAAAAATGATTGTCAAACAAAACTTGAATTTAAACCCACCTTTTATTTTCTCCACTTGAACACAAGACTTCAATAATTTCGACTTTTGCCATGTAAAGAAATTTTTTTATTGTTTATCTATAATATAATTGTTTCTTATTTATTATGCGCACATCTACGATCATATATGTAATTTCAATTTTCGGGCATTTCCTTTCCTTTTTTTTTTCTACGTAATTCTAAATTTTTTTACACGAAATGGTTCACCGTGAAAAGATGAGTAAACTTATATATAATTCGTGAAAAATTTAGTTTGAATGATATCGTGTATTAAGGGATGAGATCTAACAAGTAAATGGTACGCGACTTCTAAAATCTTTAGTGCGAATACAATATTATTTTAATCGGAAAATTGAATAATAATTTACTAACAATACGCATAGACAATTTGAACTGAAAACTAAGAAGAAAAATGTACTAATATATAAAAGCACACTTTCCTCAGAAAAGAAATTAATATTTAAAAGCATATTTTCCTCATTTATCGACTAATTCTAACGCTACAAAAGGCACATTCAAAGATGCTCTGTTTTCATAATATCTCAAGTTATTTCCTGACGCTTGCAATCACTTCAATACGTACCACTCTTTGAATCAGAAATTAATTTATTTTCCATTTTGTATCATAAAAACTTTTTTCAACCTTGTGATTGTGTTTTCTTTTTGGGTCCAACATTATTTTTTCAAGAATTTACATTGTAGGATAGTGATTTAACATTCCTTGTTACAGTTTCCTAGATTTTGATTTTGATTGATGACGAGAAATTCAAGTTTCTACGTTGTGTAATGTTGACCTAGATTTCCGCACCGATGATGTTGCATACAAATCTCTATTTCACTCACATTCACAATCTTTTTGTTGCGTACTTGGACAAACCATTATGAACACTTATCCTTCTCGAAAGGGGGAGGCAGAGACAACTCTGTGAATTTTGATTGTCAAGTCAATTAACTTATATGGATATATTTGGATGTGGAACGTGCTAAAGATGTGAACCAAAAGGGGTTCGGGACACAGGGTGTCAAAGTAGAACCGTTGAGGGAGTGAAACTAGAGAGAGAATGTAAAATTGTATTAACTTCAAATGATACTAGGTGTAAGCTTTTATAATATAAGAGGAGAAATGATAAGCATTGGATGAATAGACATGTGACCTTATCTTATCGGTTGAGGCAATTTGTCATAGGCGTCATTCTACCAGTCCTGTATTTAGATGCATTTAATATTTTTGGCATTTGGCCACCCTACGCCCTACGGCTAGCATGAAAAAAGTAGGTCAACAAGTAGACTTGATAGAATGACTGCTTCAGAGAGTTTAGATCAATCAATTATAAAAAATATTTGTACGTAGAATCTTCTAGGAAATGTGTCTCATACGTTTAGAGGTCATTCGTCTTGGACTAGCATTGCAACGCTTCGCATTGCGTCACTTCGCCTTGTGCGTGGAGGTTTGACCTCTACATGAGGGTTCATCAGATTCGTCACTTCGACTACATAGGCCTCGAATAGGGCAAGTAGAATGATGATATGGAGTGTGGGCCTAAATTTGCTTACAGTATGGTTGCCACATGGTCGTTATTGGAGTTTCGTTGAATGAGGCGTAATAATGACTGTGCATTTTTTTCGTGAAGTGATAAATGATTTGAGGAAAAATGTGTTTTAACTAATTCTTTTGTGTTTTTTTTCTTTTGTTATATAAATAATCTTCTGATGAATTACTGAGAACAAATTTTGGATAGATTTTCTATAGAAAAAAATGATTTTTTGTTGAGAATGTATAATTAAAAAATAGAAAAAGTTATAGATTATGTGAAATGAGTAGTTGAAATTTGAAAATGATTTAAGGCCCTGTTTGACAGGCCTTATTTTCCGGGTAAAATGGAAAACGAATTCCTTTTTCCACTTTTTAACATGTTTGATAGGCTTAATTTTCCAGGTAAAATATTTTCCTTATTCTACCTCACGCGCCTGATTTTCCACCAAATTAATGAAAAGCTTTTCCTCTCCTTCAGCTGGATTTTCATTTTCCACCCAAGGTGGAAAATCACGAAATCTGTGTGCTCGGTTGGTGGAGGAGGAAGAACCTAATCTGGAGGGCGATGGGGTCTTCCACCACGGCGACGGCGAGGGCGGAGAGTACCCACCCGTGGAGACCCAGAATTTTCGGCATTGATCTCTGCTTTTTTCTTTGGCGTTTTAGAATCTTGACATCACTCCCCTTTTCCATAGCAGGGCGTTCTGCGGCGACGGAATTGGTCGGAGATGTGGGTCCGGAATCACTTGGAGGCAGGTAGAGGACAAATTGGGTTTCTTAGGTGCGGGTGCAGTAAAGGGGTTTTTGGCAATTGGAGGTTGGGGTTCTTCCTGTTCAGATGAATTCGGAGGAACCAATTTCTTCAGATGAATTCGGAAGAACGGCTTCGGTTGGATTTTCTCCTGTTCACGAATTCCCACCCGTTGGGACGGTGGGGGAGTTAGTTGGAGGTGGGATTGATGCGAGAGGAATTGGTGGAGAAACTGGAGCAGGTGTATTGGAAGGCTGGTGGAGTTGTTGGAGTAGGAGGTTGGGAGGCTGGTGGTGGAGAAGGTGCTGGGGGAGTTGGGCTTGCAGGTGGTGAAGTTGGAGTAGGAGGAGGCTGGTGGTGGAGAACTGGCTGGGGGAGTTGGGATTGCAGGTGGTGAAGTTGGAGTAGGAGAAGGCTGGTGGTGGAGAATGTGCTGGGGAAGGCGGGCTTGCAGGTGCTGGGGGAGTTTGGCTTGCAGGTGCTGGGGGAGTTGGGATTGCAGGTGGTGAAGTTGGAGTAGGAGGAGGCTGGTGGTGGAGAATGTGCTGGGGAAGGCGGGCTTGCAGGTGCTGGGGGAGTTTGGCTTGCAGGTGCTGGGGGAGTTGGGATTGCAGGTGGTGAAGTTGGAGTAGGAGGAGGCTGGTGGTGGAGAATGTGCTGGGGAAGGCGGGCTTGCAGGTGCTGGGGGAGTTTGGCTTGCAGGTGCTGGGGGAGTTGGGATTGCAGGTGGTGAAGTTGGAGTAGGAGGAGGCTGGTGGTGGAGAATGTGCTGGGGGAGTTGGGCTTGCAGTTGCTGGGGGAGAACTGGTGGTGGAGAACTGGCTGGTGGAGAAGGTGCTGGGGGAGTTTTGTTAAGTTTGATTGCAGGTGGTGGAGGAGGCTGCAGGCTGGGGGAGGTGGAGGAGGCTGCAGGTGGGGGAGGAGGCTACAGGCTGGGGGGGAGGAGTCTGCAGGCTGGGGGAGGAGGATGCAGGTGGTGGAGGAGGCTGCAGGCTGGGGGAGGTGGAGGGGGCTGCAGGCTGGGGGGGAGGAGTCTGCAGGTGGGGGAGGAGGCTGGGGGAGGAGGCGCAGGCGGCGTTGCTGCTGGAGGATGATCGGATGTTGTCGGAAATTTTTTATTAAGTTGGATAGTTTCGCACAAATAATCATAATTTTCCATAGAAAATAAAGTCAATCAAACACCAAAAGTAGGAAAATCTCAACATTTTCTAGTTGGAAAATTATACCAATCAAACGCAACTAATTACAATTCTCTGGAAAACAATTTCTAGGAAAAATTTTTCCCTATAAAATATTTTCTTTCTACCCATTTTCCACCCTTGCAATCAAACGCACCCTAAGAGAGTAAATTTCAAAAAACCTCTTTTGAACCAGCTATGAGTTAAAGTACACAAAATATGATTATTTGTCGATTTGTGAAGACTAAGAATGGAAATGTTAGGCCCCTGTTTGGACTCCATTAAGGACCCGTTTGATTCTCATTATTGTAGAATGAGAATGAAAAATATCGTTATTAGGCCCACACAAGAGATAGAAATTCGAAATTGATAGTTTGATGTGAAGTATAAGGGTTATATTTTTCATTTTTATTGATGAAAAATGAGAAACAAACGAAGACTAAAATGTATTTTGGGGGCAAAATGTATTTTTAAATAGTAATTTTTTGAAGGATGTATGGTTAAAAAAGAAGAAAAAGTTTTGAATTTAAGTGTAATATTATTTTATTAGAGAATGTATGGTTAAAAAGTGAAGAGAGAAAAATGCATTTCGAATAAAATGGAGCCCAAACAAGGGCTAATATTGGATTCTTGATCTGCTGTTCAACTATTCATGGCCCGTTTACATTCTAGATAACATTTTGGGAACAATACATAATTTCTTGTTTTAAAGATCACTTTTCATAAATAACAGACTTCAAAAATCTTTTTAAAAATCAGGTGTTAAATCAATTTATTAAATATTTTTAATTATAATATAATACAATTATCCCAATTTATTAAATTTCAAATCCAAATCATTNGTAGAATGAGAATGAAAAATATCGTTATTAGGCCCACACAAGAGATAGAAATTCGAAATTGATAGTTTGATGTGAAGTATAAGGGTTATATTTTTCATTTTTATTGATGAAAAATGAGAAACAAACGAAGACTAAAATGTATTTTGGGGGCAAAATGTATTTTTAAATAGTAATTTTTTGAAGGATGTATGGTTAAAAAAGAAGAAAAAGTTTTGAATTTAAGTGTAATATTATTTTATTAGAGAATGTATGGTTAAAAAGTGAAGAGAGAAAAATGCATTTCGAATAAAATGGAGCCCAAACAAGGGCTAATATTGGATTCTTGATCTGCTGTTCAACTATTCATGGCCCGTTTACATTCTAGATAACATTTTGGG